TGTTTTGAGAGAGAGAGAGAGAGAGAGAGAGAGAGAGAGAGAGAGAGAGAGAGAGAACATAAAGTTGGATTGTAGAGAGATGGGAATGAGCAGTGAGGACCTGGAGAAGAGGAAGAATAGGATCACATTATAGTATAAAAATACTGAAATTGTAAAATGGCGCTGGTGAAATGGAAGATCCACATGTTGAAGACTGGAATTGATCTATATGGTGGAGCACCTTACTCTCTCTGCACAGGCTGCTGGGGGCTATGACATCACTTACACCACCTGTTCTAGGTAATTTCAGTTTCAAGGGAAAAGTTTAGCCAGGAACTTCATGTTTGATAAGGAAACTATACCATTTATCTATTCCAACTGACTTTGGCCTGTTCTCTTTATGTCTCTATTCCCTTATTTTCGTTTATCTCTCCTCTGTGTTCCCTTGTGCTGGCCAGTTGTCTTAAATACTTTTTTCTTTCCACTTCTCCTATCATTTTCCACCTCTAATTCTCATTGTCATCTCTGGCGTTTCTCCTTGATTTCTAATTCTGACTGAAGCCACAACTCGTCATTGCAAGGTGAGAGCCTGAACACATAGGAGAGGTCTAAAGGTCTCCTGGGGACAGAAGCTGGCTCTGATATCTTTCTCTACCAACCCAAGGCTGATCATTGATGCAATACTCATATATATAGAAGTGCCAGGGCTTGTAATGGAGACAGCACCGCCGACAGCCATGGCCAGCACAGCCAGCTCCAGTGCCAGCGCTGCCAGCTCCAGTGCCAGCACTGCCAGCTCAGAACTGTCTGCACTGTCAGAGAACATCAATAATGCTGCTGACATCTCTGTCATTGTCATCTACTTTGTGGTGGTGATAGCTGTTGGAGTGTGGGTATGTAGAAGCCCAGGGAGATTGCAGGGAGGGCAGAGAAATTCCAGGGGCAAAGAGCTCTAACTGGGAGTGTGTGGGGGCCAGTGGGACTGCTGGGTGGGCAGAACAGACATGTGGAGTGAGGAGTTGAGACAATGATTTTCCAAGTATCATTGCGTTTTGGTCTGAATAATCTGCTTGCGTGTGACATGAATAATGTTTGCACCAAATGAATTCGTTCTCCAGAAAGCCCATTATTTCAACAGGACCAGGGCTGGGTGCTCGCTGTGCTGGGCATGTCCAGCACCAGACATCAAAAACACAAATGCCATTTCTCTTGTCTTGTTTTAACCTCTTCCCTTTGATGTTTATTTACTTCCTCACTTACTGAGTGAGAAGTTTAGATAACTTGTTCATTCTTTCTTTTCAGTATTGAGTTTGAGGCTCAATATCTTCCAAAGGAAGCTTTGGAGACCATAATATTGTTCTCATAAGCTGAAATAAATATCAGGTTTTCAAATATAATTTCTTGACATTCTCCATCTGAGTCATTATAGAACCATTTCTTTTACGTCCATTAAGACTGATGCTGTCGATCTCCTGAGCAAATTGAGAGCACTGGAAGAGGGGGGAGGGAGCTACGAGAATGAGAAGAGAAGAGGAAGAATGCAGAGGTCATGAGGGAGCGGAAAGGTTGAGTCAGGTGTAGATTAGAAGAAAGGATATGTGATAGGTAGGGTTTTAGTAGGTGGGGTGGTAGGGGAGGAAGGGAAGGAGAAGGGAACTGGGATTGTCATGTAATTCAATCTTGTTTGTAATTCAAATAAAAAATGGTTTAAAAAGGAGACTGATGCTGTGTTACTCTATCTAGAAAAGCAGGTCTCTCTGTGGGTGTTGAAATACCAATGTCAGCATGCTGTGCAGAGCAGCTGCAGGTTCTCCTTGATCTTGGCGACTCCTCAGGAAAATGGGAATGAGTCTACCACAAGATCCAGCAATTCCACTCCTAGGCATATACCCAAAAGAAGCACATTCATATAACAAGGACATCTGTTCAACTATGTTCATAGAAGCATTGTTTGTAATAGCCAGAAACTGGAAGCAGCCTAGATGCCCCTCAACTGAAGAATGGATAGAGAAATTGTGGTACATTTACACAATGGAGTACTACTCAGCAGAAAAAACAATGGAATCCTGAAATTTGCAGGAAAATGGACGGAACTCGAAGAAACCATTCTGAGCGAGGTAACCCCATCACAAAAAGACAAACATGGTATGTACTCACTCATATGTGGACCTGCTTTATGATACATAATAGTGACTGTGCTTTATCAGAGCTGTTTTTAATGATGTTGCTCAGAATGGTTTCCTTCCAGATGATGATTGAGAAGCTAATT